AGCTGTAGTCAGACATGTCTAACTGGTTCTCTGACCAACCCTAGAAGGTAAAAATGTGGGTTAAGTGTAATTAAGTCCCTTTAAATTCAGAAATGAAGCTCAGAATTCAGTTTCTTCACTCTTATTTTTAAATTCAGGCATGTGCCCTACTTTTTTTCTACTATGAACTAATTCAAACACATAGAATGTGTGTGTTATGTGTCTCCTTTATTCTATCTGTGTGTGTACATTTACCTCGGTATACGATTTATGAAAATTCTGCACCAAATAAAAAATGAATACTATCCAAGGAATGCAGAAATGTCTTATTTTATTGTATCTGATTGGGATTTAATAAAACCACTATAAGGAAAGTGAAATTCTCTTTTAGGCACCTATATGATCCCGCTCACCTTCTTTCCTCCCCAGATGCAATTTCTTTAATGAATTTGGTATACAATGAGGGTGACTATTAGGTGTTAGGTGCTGTCAAGAAGAGTATAACTCATAGTGATCCTATGAACAGTGGATATGAACCCTGCCCTACAGGGACTATATAACTTAAAAAGCAAACAGAAACATCGTTGAGGTTGAAATAGTTCTATTAATAATTTTGCCTAGTCAACAATCATAAACTGGGAGGGTCACAGGCAAATCCAGTGGTGCTGTTACATTTGCATGAGTGAGATTTAAAAGTTTTAAAGGAAGGAGCTCTGGTGGTTTAGCAGGAAGGAGTTTCAGTGCTAACCCAAAGGCTCCCAGTTTGAATCCACCAGTTGCTCAGTGGGAGAAGGATGATTAATCTCATGCGATTAACTGCCTCTACACCCCCACTGGAGGGTCAGCTATGAGTCAGTTCTGACTTGATAGTTTACAACAACAACAATATAGCACTGTTGTTGTTTATCATTGAATAGAAACAGACCCACAGCTGACCCTCCAGTGGGTTTTCAGAGGCAGTAATTGCAAGGGAGGAGATTGCCCATCCTTCTCCTACAATACAGAACTACTATAAAGACTCATTGCTATTGAGCCAGAACTGGCCCATCGCTGACCCTTCAGCAGTTTCCAAGGCTGTAAATCACATGGGAGGGGATGAGATGGGGAGATCTTTCTCCCTGAGAGTTATTAGAGGATCTGAAATGCCAGAGGCACAGCTTTTGGGTTATCAGTGCAATCCTATGTAATCTGGTAACTGTGTCTCTCGCGCCCTCATTAGTGTACCAAAGGGTGGAGACTCCTTTTGTATATAACTTAACCTTATTTACTCTTACCTCAAATTCTCAGGAGTTGTTTGTAAGGTTTAGATTTTAATATTCTTGAGGATACAATCTGTATTTATTCCTTTTGCATTATCCATACTCCTTATTATATATACTATCTTAGATACAATTTATGCTCAGGAAGTATTTACTGACTAAGATAATATTACAAATTACTCCCAATTAAAAATTCCCAATTGTAACCATTGAAATAATTTTGATTTTGTTATGGTGAGTGAAGCATCCTATTTATTTACTTGAAACAGACTCATAAAAACAAATATTTTAGTTATGTGTATACAGAATGCTAAGAAAAGCTATAATATTGAGATTGCAGAGAAACTTCACAGCAAATATTTTAATCTGGATGGAGCCCTGGTGGCCTAGTTATAAGGAGCTGCACTGACAACCCAAAGGCATGTGGTTCAAATCCACCAGGTGCTCTGTGGAAGAAAGATGGGAAATTTCCTCCTATGCAATTTACTGCCTCCAAAAACCAGCTGAGGGGTCAGCTATGAGTCAGTACACAGCAACATTTTAATTTGGAGATAGCAATGTGGACAGAATACTTTGCATAGCATAGTCATAGAATTATACTTGTTTTAATTTGAAAATAAATGTTTTATTGAAGTATTATGGGCATATTTAAATTTATGGAGTAATTTACTTTCTCCAATAGTCATTCTTTTTCTGTGTTGTTGTTGTTGTTGTATACCATCGAGTTGGATCTGACTGGTACAGGAGGAGATTGCCCCTCCTTCTCCAGCAGAGCATCTGGTGGATTCGATCCAATAGTAATTCTTTACATGACTGCTGTTGGGCTGAACTACAGCGAACCTAAAACTGCCAACTAAGTTTTGAGCAAGATAATTCCATAAAAAAGAATCCGTTGCCATCAAGCTGATTCCACCTTATTAACTAGGGCACAGCAAAATTTTCCCTTAGGGTTACCAAATATCTAGAGATCTTAAGAGCAGCAGATTCTTTGACTTTCTAAGTGCAGATTATCTACAGACCTAACCATACACATATGAACACACCTTATCATCCTCGTCAAAGCCAGAAAGGTCTGGTCGGCTGGAAGAGACCTGTAACAGAGGAATGGTTCTTATCAATGTAGTTGATTTATTTACCATCAATATTTTTTGAAGGCAATAGAATGTTACAGATAAATGATGACCATCCTAAATCTGAAGTTTATCATTTCCACATATGCTTTTATAGTCAAGGTCAAAGAATGTTGACTATAGCATGGACTGTTAAAAGAACAGACAAATCTGCTTTCAACGAACAAAGGCTGCAGTGCTCCACAGAAGCAGAGGTGCTGAGGCCTGATCTCATATACTCTGGGCATGTTATCAGGAGGGGTAAGTCCCTGGAGAAGGACATCATGCTTGGAAAAGTAGAAGATCACGGGAGAAATTGACTCTCAATGCAACACAGTAGCTGCAACAAATGGGTTTAAGCACAGCAGAGATTTTGAGGATGGTACAGGATTGGGAAGTTTTGTTCTGTTGTATATATGTCGGAGTCACTTGGTAGCACTTAACAACAGCAACATACATATTTTATATAATTACATATGTAGATAATCACAATTAATATGTAGAGTGGAAGGACAGCACAGGAGAGGAAGATCCCAGAGGGTGGGTGTGTTAGAGACAGTGAGATTGGCTCAGGATAGGGTTGCTAGGAGTCTCAGTCAACTTACCAGCACATCACCACAGCAGCAACAACACTTAATATAAGTGGTAGCTTACCATACACTTCAACAGTTCAATAATTTATTTATTCCTTTCTCCTACTGATAGCTACCTAGGCTACCAATTTTTTTCTATTACAAAACATGATGTGAACAATGCTCTTGTTACTAACCTCTAAATACCACTCTAGCTGCATCTAGCATATATGGATGTGTGACATGTTTTTAGTAGTTTTAATTACATCCTGTATAGCAACAGAAGTCTCTACAATATATAGCTAAGAAAGAGAAGCCCAGGTTGTAGATAAGGTTATATACCTTCAATCTATTCTTTCATAGTGATTTTAAGATTAACTCTGCAACTCTCAAAAAAAAAGGACTCTTTGGGAATTTATAGATCAACTTTTTCTAAGTTTTAAGTGCTATTTTTATTCACTCATTGTTGCATATTTTCCTCCCTCCACCTCGCCTAGTCCACTTTGTAATGTACCTTTTGTTCCAGATTGCTGTCATACATGTAATGAGTAATCATACAGTTCTTCCCCTCATCTGTTTCAATGCAGTCTTCATTATCTATATACTCTTTTCCTTTTCTCCTCTCAAACCTCCACACCAATTCTACTTTGTAACAGTGGTTTTATGCAGTATTTGTCCTTTTATAGATCAATTTGGACAACTAATGATGAAACCAAGTGAAGACCAAAATCACTTCTGCGTGTTTACTTTTGTCAGAAACATCTCCAATGTAAATATGTATTTATGTGTTTATTACAAAACCATAAATGAACAATTGAAGTTTTAATCAATTTTTTCTATAGCAGAAGGACAAAATAGGAATAAAAAAGCCTGTATTTACATAAAAAAGAAAAGATGTTGTTTTGTACTGAGTTGGAACCAACCAACTGACCTTCCAATGGGTTTTCAGAGGCAGTAAATCACACGGAAGGAGACTGTCCATTTTTCTCCAAAGGAACAACTGGTAGTTTTGAACCATGTGCCTTTGGGATTGCAGCACAGCTTCTTACCAGAGCTCCCACTTTGAAGATAAATGGTAATATTTTTATACAGTGTGCTCCTGTCAATAAACATAGTTTATTACCTAGGAACTTAATCCTTTGTTTTTTGGTTATACTGTAATTTAGGTTTTCTATCTTGATTCTGGTGGAGGAGTCTGTCGACAGTTGTGTTGCTAACTCAAACCCATCTCTAGAGGTTCAATCCACCAGCACTCTGAGGGCAAAAGATGGGCAATCTCTTTCTGTGTGATTTACAGAGTTTCATGAGTTTTGATTCAGTCTTTATAGGCAACTTTTATGTTATTTAAGATGTGTAAATCTCTGCTCTATCTGTAGTAACACTGTCCTTCTCATCCTGATTAATATCCTCCTTCCTTTTTCCTTTTCTTCTCCAATCAGTGTTAACTAGAGATTACACACCTACATACACTGCATTATTAACAATAGCAAAGATACGGAAATAATCTCTGTGCTCATCAACAGATGTGCAGATAAACTATGGTACAGACAGACAATGAATAATATATTACACTAAAGAATAACGAAGAGTTTGAATCTGCAGGATGTTATGCTAAATAAAATAAGTCGGATATGAACATGTGCGGCTAAGCACAATTAATAGCAGTGCATCTAAATTCCAAAATCAATCTCCATAATAGTCTATGTGTTTCCTACTGCCAAGGGGGCCCTTTAGAGTAGTGAGAGAAGATCTTCACCCTGAAACCCACAGCGTCCCTTTTCAGCAGAAGTAGCTAAGAGAATACGCCATCCCCCTTTCCTTATGAATCAGGGTGAAGTCTCTCTCATGGAGGAGTGATAGGGAATGGCAAAGGACACACTGACAAAGGAGATTAATCAGAACTGGTTTTGACAAGCACTATGGCAATTGGACAATTAAAACAGACATTCGGGGGTGGGGGAAGAAGAACGAACTGGGGAGGAGGGTAGAGAAAACAGTGCAACAATGAATGAATGAGAACCCAAAATATCTGTAAATGTTCATTAAAACTAGTAAAATTTAATAATAATTTTTTAAAAAAGTCAAACACAGAATGACAAATACTGAGTCCACAAGGGTTGTGGGCTTCCCACCCTAAGGTGGCCAGTTTGAATGCACTAGCTAGCTGTTCCTCAGGAGACAGATGGGCACTCTTCCCCTATGTGACTTACAGCCACTGGAAACCTACCACAGGGTCAGCTATGAGTTGGTTCCGACTCAATGGCAATGAAGGGTGAGGGACTCTTAAAAAAGTTAAGAAAAGGTTAACACCAAAAAGATATATTCTTTACAGACTGGTTCATTTTGCCAGGCTTCTTCTGCCACCCATTGACCAAAAAGAAAACAAAAATCAACAAGCCAAAAAATTCTCTGCTTTCCACCACGGTTGAAAACCTGTCTGCTGTTTCATACACCTCTACGCTAATATTTCTTTATTCCTTTGAATTGGCAGATTTATACTCTAGTATTGTTTCTTTTGAATTTATTTTGATTTTATTTTTCTAACATTCAATATATTTTACTCATAAATAGTCCTTGATGAAGCAATGAAAGATAAGGGACTTCAAATTTTTTTTAAAGCTGTATTTAGTTGCTAAAATATGAAATGTATATCCCCTCCATGCCAGGGGGCATGTTTATCTTCTCTGTATCATTCCAATTTTAGTATGTCTATGTGCTCCCGAAGCGAGCATAAGAGAAAGGACTTTTAAAGACTTTCATCTAAAATACCAATATCACATCCTAAAAATGAAGAAATTCCTATATGGTATCAAACATCTAGTGTTCAAATGTCTCCAGATACTGTTTAAACAATTTTATAATTAATATATTTGAAAAATGATAATAATGATGAATAATAAATTAAAATAAATAATAAATTAAAAAGTCAGACATTGAAATTAGTTGACGACCTCTTTTATCCCTTGCCTTGAATTTTAATAATTAAAAAGAAAAGGTCAACTCAAGACTAGGTTATTTATCCTATAAAGCCCCCTACCACAAAAAGTTACATGTCCCATATCTGTGGAATCCTAGGGGTCAGTACAAATGGAGTGCAATGAATGAACATGCCGTTGGAAAACTACCTGTGTGAACCTGGTATCACCTCTGCCAATTAAGTATGTGACCTGGCTCACATCTTTTAGTCACACTCAGACAAGCAGAAACTGACCTGACTGGGCAGGCCAATCTTCTGTTGGCCTGGCAGATACACTGAACCAAGCCAGATTGTTGATTTTGTTTTTTGTTTTTTTCTATTTGCCATAGCATGCATGCTAGTTTTATGATACTTGCATACTTGTTTATTTTATAGTTTGTTCTTATGGGTATGTTGTTGTTGTTATGTACTATCGAGGTGGGAATGATGCATAACTGGTCCTCCAGTGGGTTTTCAGAAGCAGTTAACTGCATAAGAGTAGACTGCCCATCTTTTTTCCATGAAGCACCTGGTGGATTTGAACCACGGGCCTTTGGGTTGACAGTGTGATTCCTTACCACTATGCCACCAGAGCTCCTTGTTTGTCATACAGACCCAGCAAGAACTGGTGGTAATGAAGAAATTCAAGCTGCACTGAAGAAGGTGGCAAAAATAACACCCAGGAACTGATGGAAATGAACTAACTAGTAGCATGTTTTTAATTTCTGATCAATTCTAATGGTCTCATATCTCTAACGGTCAGAAAATGTGTGTTCTGTAACTCAAAAAACCCACTGCAATCTAGTTGAAACCAACTCATTGCTGATTCACCATTGGTTTTCCGAGATGGTAAATCAAACAGAAGAAGATTACCCAAGTTTCTTCCATAGAGGTGGCCAGAGAAGGGTAGCTTTTGGGTTTGCTGGACAAACTGCTACATAATACAACACTGAGCTCCCTTTTATAGAATATATAGATTGTAAACATTTGCTAGGATTTGCTTTCAGGCCCACTTTCAAGATAATTTTTTAACATGTTGTTTATAATAATTTTCTGGAAATTCTGGAGTGTAGGAAGGCTAATGATACTCTTTTTCTTGGATGGCTCCTAAGAAAAAAACCAATTTTTAACTGGTCCTTGCATTCATCCATCCTTTTTTCTCATGACAGTGTCTCCCTTCAGCTGGAAGCTGTTTCTGTCAATTAGCTTTCCCAGAAGAATTTGCTGAGGAAAAGAATCACAAAGATCAGATGGGCAGCACAGTGCTCTGTCTCAGTAGGTAAAAGTGATCCAAAAGCATCAATTAGGGGCTGTGGTGGCCAGGATATTTGATCAATGGCAACTCCCTTATACTTTATCTAAACTCAAAGAGGAATATGGCAGAAGAAAAACAGTAAAGGACTACTTCCTGAACTTCTTCTCGCTCACATCTTAAGCTCTATTTGTGTTTATGCCCCAAGAAGCTTTTCAGATAACTTCCTGAATGCTGCTGTTGGTTGCTTGGGAGTCTATTTTGATCCTGTGTGCCCAGAGTGGAATACTGCACACAGTTTCCTGAAGCAGACAGACAGACTTTCCTTCTGAGGTACTGCCAAACAGGTCTGAACTGCTAAATTTTAGGGTAGTGATTGAGTTTAGTTTGTGCCACCCAGGGACCTTACTTTATCAATAGGGATTAATGAGATTCCATTAACGGATAGGCCATGTTACATGTGACTTTGCCTCTGGCCTACTGCGTGCTGCAGAGATGTGGGTGTGGTAATCTGGTGATATCCTCAAGAGCCGTACACTCCAACCTCACCTGTAAACATCAACCTCCTGTCCCCACACGTCCTCCACCCCGGATTCTGAGGCACATCACGTCAGAGGCAGATCCGTGCAGGGGAGAACTTACGTTGTGGACATTCGGTGTACTGAGACTCCTCCGTATATGCCGGGCTTTGGTGGAAAGTGCTTCTTTTACAGTTACGGCCTGGAAAGGCATAATAATTTACAAATAACATTTATTATTTTCCCATTGACTCCATAAGCAAGACATAGTTTATGCACGAAATTTTGCGAATATTACAATAAAGATCACTCTAACGGTGGTGAGTGTTGAACACCATGATGAATGTAGTCAATGGTATGGGACTGTTGTTGCTAAGTGCCAGCAAGTTGGTGCTAACCCAGTGGGAACATAAGTTTAACAGGACAAAGAATACATGCAGAAGTCACTGAAATTTACCAAGATAATAACGTAACACACATCTGTACAGTATTACTAAACAAAATGCCATGGTATCCAAATGCTGGTGTTCTGGTTGTTTTTCTGTTTGAAATGAAGAGATATCTATTATTGACAACATGTAGGCACTGTGGAAGGAAAAGAGGTACTAAGGAGTCATTGCTTTTGTTTTTAAGTGAATGTTGAGACTGCTATTTGAATACACTTGTGTAAGCCACAGCAGAGATAAACATAGTGTCATGAGGAGACTAAGCAAGGAAAACCTAATCAAAACTAGGTAAACCTAATCAGGTCAGTCAAGGTCTGAGGAAGTGTGGCCTAGTGGCAAGACCCTGCACTGCAATCCCAGAGGTACGCGGTTCAAATCCACCAGATGCTTTGCTGCAGAAGGAGTGGGCAATCTCCTCCTGTACCAGTCAGATCTGATTTGACGGTACACGTAAAATAATACAATAAATAAAAAAATTTTTTTTAAAAAAAAGGTCTGAGGAAGTGTGAAGGATCATTTTCCAGCAGCAGCCATGATTGTGTTCTGTGGATTTTTGCTATTCACTCTGATTACTTGGCTAAGTTGTTCAGAGAGCTGCTATGAGTTATACTCAACTTGACAGCACCTAACAACAACAATAACAATAAGAAAACAACAATATGGCTAAAGCTCATTGTGCATTTATCTTTTTTTTAAATGGATGATAAATATTATGCAAAACATTTTTCATTTCAATCATCTTCACATATATAATTTAGAAATATTATGTTTCTCATGTTCTTTAACCATTTCACTTAACTATTCCTAAACATTTTTTATTTTTTCCCCCAAACATTAAAGGGTTTATTAAAATCAAGAGAACTTTGCTCTGGAGAAAGGAATAACAAACAGAAGGAAAGTCAACAACATAAGTTGTAGGGAGATGTAGGGAACCTCAGGTCTTCACTTGGCTGCCAGCTCAACAAAGGGTAACACAGTGAAAACCGAAACAGCTTCTCCAGACTGCTAACGCTGGGGAATCTTCAGGCCATCTCTGAGGTCCCACATCAAGTGTCATATTCCATTCCAGGTGAGATACATGAGAGGGGAAACAAGTGCAAACTTAGCTGTGCAGATCGGTGCCGGAGCCAGACTCAGACTTCACGAGTTCCAAATGAGACTCAAAGTTCCAGGGATTAACAGGGTGGACAAGATAAAAAGATTCATGCACACAAGGCCCTACCAAAGCCATGGTGGTCAATGGATGGACATCACCACTGGAAGAGACCAACTAAACAGCAATGTGGGGAGATAAATGGTGGTTTGAACTTCTGTTCTTATTTCAGAATTTCTCCCTCTCTTGTTTGCCTGTGGTTCCCAAAGGAACAGTATATCTGATACAGAATTGAGGTCTAGGCTGGGCACAGAGGCTATGATGGCCAACATGTCTCAGCAGGAGAGCAGCTATCTTGGATTCCAGGGTGGACAGAGTCTGTTCCCCAATTTTTTTCACCATTTTTAACAGAAGCAGCTCAAGATCTCTTAAGCACGGAGTTCCCTTTCCTCTTCTTCCCATCTCTGGCTACTTCTAATAACATTTGATCTCTATAATCTCAGTATCTATATGTTGTTTTTGCTTAACAATATACAAAAAATATTTTTTTTCATTCATAAATATAGCTGTCCTCCAGATCATGTGCTCTCAGTCTGTGGATTCTCCTGACCATGGATTGAAAATGCAGTGAAAGCAATCCCTCCAGAGTTAAGAGGGAGTGTAAAGTGCTGTTTGCACAGCACTGACATTGTATGAAGTACTTATAAGTTAGCTAGAGATGAATTAAGGTACACAGGAGGACGGGCATAGAGTATACACAAATATGGTGCCATTTTAAACAGAGAGCTTGAGCATCCATGGATTTTGGTTTCCACAAGAGGCTCAGCTTCAATTTTCTTACTTGAAAATGGGGATTAATTAATAGAGGGAACAAAGGGATGCTGTAGTCTAAACATTGGCTGCTAATCAAATCCTACGGATACGAACAGGCAATTGTAAAATAATGAAAACTATGGACATAAAGACATTTACATTTTTAGTTTTTAATATAAGTGGGCAAAGAAAACAAAGAAATACCTCTCTCTATACAGGTATCTCATTTGCAAAGCTACAATAAATGTTTATGACAGTTATGTTGTTGTTAAGTGCCATCGAGTTGTAGGTGACTCATAGTGACCCTATGAAGGAAAGTCCTCAACACTTGTGTGATTTTCATCCTTTCTCCAGGTTCATAGGGTTTCCAGAGGCTAGCTATTATGGAAATGGATGCCACTCCTGCTTGTTTTAATTGGGAAGCTCCACCAAACACTGTCTACCATGGATAACCATTAATGCATTTGATGGTTACAGCTGCAATAAATTTATGTGGGCCTTTTGCTAAAGAAAGATTTTTCTAACAGACTCTGTCTGATCTTTGTACTTCTGGCTGATCAATAAATGCTTCCCTAACTCCTACTACTATTGTGTTTATGGACTGCATCTCAGTTCTACTGTCCAGTGAATGATTTTCTCTTGAATTTCCTGTTATCATTTCAAAAGCTAACCTAGGTTAAAAAATTAAGGAGGTAGCAATCAATCATCCATGGATAAGCATATGGGCTTTAGAGTTAAGCTAGTACCACTGTATCCTGGCTTGTACCAGTCACTAGCTCTGTGGCCAAATCATCCAAATTTCTCTCAGCTTCTATTTTCTCAGTTGAAAATGTGGATTACTCTATATGGGGAACTCAGGGGTGAGGTAATCTAAGCACTGGGTGGTTAACCACAAGGTTGGAGGTTTGAACCAACTTTTTTATGGGAGAAAAATGAAGCTTTTTCCTCTTATAAAGATTTAAAACTTTGGAAATGCTACGGAGCAATTCTACTCTGTCTTACAAGACTGCTGAGACTTGGAAACAACTTTGACAGCAGGGTTTGAGTAATTTTTTTTTTTTTTAATTTCCAGATTGAGTCATCTTATACATCTAAAATACTTAGGTACAGTTCTTGGCAAGTAAGAAGTATCCCATGAAGTCTTGCTGTTTCCATTATTTTTGCTACTATTTTATCTGACTCATAGCTACTTGAGTTATTCTTCACTGGCAGATTCAGAGAGAGGGCATTTTATAAACAAACTTTTCTCTGTTCATGTCAGGTTAGAGAATAGTTAGGTACCACCTCCCAGTCCAGGTGTTGGGAGTTACTTGCCTGCCTGAGGCGTTCGAGGCTCAGAATGTTCTCCACCTGCAGCACCCCACGAGTGTACTTCTCAATGTAGGTCTCCCCATCTGATGTGCCTTCATTTTCACTCCTTGCTGCCATGAGAGCCAGCGTTTCCCTGTCCTCAATCTCCTCTGTTGCCTAAAAGGATGGGAAGGTGATTATAATACTTTATTATCATTTTAAATGTTTGTTATTACATTGTTATTATTATTCAGAGGCATATTTGTAACGGTCTACTGTTGAAATGTAACACTTGTGTAGCTCTCCCTGCCTTCCATTACTTTAGAGGTAGTATGCTACTCTTATCCCATCTTATAGTCTTTTCCTTCACACAACCTACTATGTCTATTACCTAGGCTTTGTACCATTCACTAGCTCTGTACTCTTGGACAAGTAATTGTACTTTTCTTCCTGTCCCATCCCTGTTAATTATCAAAGAAAGAATGCTTCCTTCTCTCTGTATATTTTTCCTTGGTTTTATGTAATTGTGGACCCATGTAACAGTTGATCTTTTGTGTCTGACTTATTTCATGCAGCATAATTTCTCCAGGTTCATCTGTCTTATGCAGTGTGCCATGGATTTTTCATAGTTCTTTAACAATGAAATACAATACAATGCATAGTATTCCTGAGTATGTATGCACCATATAGTGTTTATCTGTTTTATCTGTGGATGTGCACTGGGATTGTTTCTATCTCTTTACTATTACAAATAATGTGGCAATGGACACGGATGTCCATGTCACTTTTCATGTTCCTCCTCTTATGTTGTATCTGTGATTGCTGGATCAAAGAATCTTACTATCTCTAACTTTGTAAACGGGGTGCCATGCCATTTTCCATGATGGCTGCACTATTTTACAGTGCCAACAACAGTGTACGAGTGGTCCTATTTCCCCACACCCCTGCCAACACTGGTGATTTCTTGCCTTATCCAACTAAATGGCAATACTTTCTTCTGAGTAGAATTTTCATAAAAATTTTGGTTAGGAAGTGATTTTTATAGTTTTGAAAATCAACATATTCTCCTTTATTTCCACATTTATATTTTTTCAAGTAGTATATATCTTACCTTTGGTATATTGGAGACTATTTCATAGGTGACACCACAGGAATAAAAAATATTTTTCAATGATATTCTCCTCTTCAAGCTCTGGGTGAAACTCTGTTAGTAAAGAAAAGCTGATTAAAAGCTGTGTGAAAAATTTGTTATTTTACAAATAAAAATTTTAAAAATTACATGCTCTGGTGGCCTAATGGGTAATGCAATGTGTTGCTAATGCAATGACAGATGGTTTGAATCCACCGACTGCTCCAAGGTGGAAAGACAGACAATATCGTCTCATACAATTTAGAGTCTATGGAAACCCTTTGGAAAGTCGGCTAGGAATTGATTCCATGGCAATCCCAAAAACAACACATTTGACATACACAAACTATTTGACAAAACAGGAAAAAAATTAAACCTAAAAATTCTAATCTCTAATCCTGAGGGACAATGACATTCAGCTATTTTTGATATAGAAGTTAAATTAAAATTGGAGAGGCAACAGGAGAAGGATGTACTGGGAGCCTGTATTTCACCCTAGCTTTGCCAGCATCCTGGCTGGACTTGAGATTGAATCTCAGGGTTAATTTTTCCCTGTGACTGTAAAGTAGTGTAACAGCACAACCCTCCTGTCTCCAGTCATTCAAGGCAGAAAAATCCCTTGACAGATGGAATCCCCCTTAACAATCCTCATGCCCATTCTCTTGAGTAAATGAGACCAACCCTGACCAGTGTGTGTAGTGGTGGCACTTGATATTACCACTGCATTTATCCCCAGGACATTTGTTTGTGATGGAGGGGAAGAGAAACCACCCTGAACTCACACACAGTGGTATGAATCTGTGGCATGAACAGTACCTGTTTGTTGTAAATATTGGCTGCAATCCGTTTTCTCAGGACTAGCTCCATAGCAGCAGGGTGGCTGAGCTGGACTGTGATTTTCACGATCAGGTAGATCCTCTCGTTTTGAGGGGTGACCCTATTCAAGTGAACAGAATCATGCACGGAGGAGTCCCAAGAGGCTGTGGCTGAAACCTGGGGCAGGGGATCGACGGAGAGACAGAAACATGATACAACTCAGGAGTAGCCACCATTGCCGCTCAAATGTGAGGCCACAAAAGAAAGACATTCAAGTTATTTAGTCAAATAGAAGAGTTTCCTCACTTGTTTTGAGGGACAACATACATGTTCTTGTTTTAAGTCTCCATGCTTTCTCCACCAAACTAGTTTAGACCACTCCAGTTTAGAGGGAGGGTTATACCACCCAAGTATAGTGGGAAGTCAGGACCATTACTGGCTTGTGCAAGAACCTGATATTGTGTAATTGCACCTAAGGCCCTTTTACCTCATCGTCGCTGTGCTTTATGATGGGCAGGTAGAAAAACTGGCTCCCGTGCTCCTTGGGCAGGATGGAGTTCACGCCCGATGCATGGGGGCCCACCAGCTGCTCGTTGGCACTGAGGTCATCCGCTGACCACATCCAGGGCACAGGGGGAAAACGGGGCGGGGAGAGAAGTCAAGATTTAAGCAAATAGGGAGAAATCTAAAATACAAGACTTTTACAGATTAAGTTTACACAGAACATATCTTCCTTTTTTTCATTCCTCATTCTGTGGCTGAAACAGATAAAATGGCCACCAACCTTTTTCCCCCCACCATCCTATTTTTAAAATTTCTCTTATTATTTTATTATTTTTGTGTGCACTGTCAAATAGGATCTGACAGGTACAGGAGGAGATTGCCCCTCCTTCTCCAGCAGAGCATCTGGCAGATTCGAACCATGCACCTCTGAGACTGCAGTGCAGCTTCTTGCCACTAGGCCACCAGAGCTCCCTGTCACCATCCTTTAGAGACACTGTTAAAAACAGAGTTCTGGAAGTCTACTGGAAAGAAGCTGAGATGCCAAATCAAAGGCAGTGGAATCTGTTAGCTACTTTTTGGGAGAAAGATGGGCAATCTTCTGTGCTATTTACTGATTATGAAAACTGGGAGTGAGCTGTGAGTCAGTTTTGATTTGACAGTATCTAATAACAACAAAACCACATACTGCTAAAAACCAAGCAAACCAACTAAGTCTGTTATTATCAATTTAATTCTGATTCTTGGAGACCGTATCCGTGCCAGAATAAAACTGTTCTCCGTTAGGTTTTCAATGGCTGTAATCTAACAAAGTAACCTCTAGAACTTTCTCCCATGCTGCACACTGGGTGGATTCAAACTACCACCCTCACGCTTTATAGCAAAGAACAAACTGAGTGTATTACCCAGAGAATTGCAGATGTTACTTTGGGAGCTAAAACGGTGTCTTTGGGAGTGTACTATATGATATTGTTGTTGTTTACCATCAAGTTGGAACAGACTCATAGCTGACCCTCCAGTGGGTTTTCAGAGGCAGTAATAGCATGGAAAGAGACTGCTTGTCCTTCTGCAGAATAGCTTGAGGATTCAAACTGTCTACCTTCAGGACTGCATTGTGGATTCTTACCACTAAGCCATCTCCGTACTATACAAAAGACTGCTTACATTCTATATGGAGTTCTAGAAGCAAATATTTTTTCTTAAACTCACCTTAGAATTCTGTAGATTTCTGGTGTCAATTTTTTCCTGACCTAAACAACACACCTCTAGAAACACTATGAACTTTGATAAATGTCGATAGTTGTAGAGGGGCTTCAGGCCTTTTGTTCATAGGATCGCTATGAGTTGTGCTCGACTCAAAGGCAATCAGTAACAACAACAATTTTAACTTTGTTGTATGACTTATATAACTTATACCCAATTAGAGATTTTAGTGGTTAAATTACTAGTCTAGAATAAAACATCTAACTAAGTACTTGGGGGAAACATGAATAACACCTTATTCCAACAGCCCATCTAAGGTGAGATTCATCCTTCACAAATATCTGTCAGTGGTTAGTCAGCCTTCACTATTACTGGGAAGCATACCACTTATGTAATGACATCTCAGAGGCAAATCCACTTCCAGGCTTAAAAACCAAATTCTTAATGTGAGGAACCCAAACCAACTCTTGTCTATCTCCTACCCACCCACCAATGGCCTTCCAAGCCAGAAGAGTGGTTTTTAGGGTGTGCTTTGAGGAGCCTGAAGGCCTGACAGGAGCCTGCTCACTTCCAAAAGCAGGAACTGCTTTGTATGGGCTACATATTGGGTCACATTAAAGAGTTCCTTTTGATAAAGGGATTTACTGCTAAAACACATTGAAAACCCTCATTATAGGTTTACTGAGGTTCAGTATAACTGTGAAGACTTAAAGAGCAAACCTTAATATAGGGGTATGGTGGGATAGTGAACCACTAGCATCAAAATGTTCACAAGAGTTGATGCACTAGTTATAAATGCAGACTCCTATACTCCTATCAAGTCTAAGGAGTCAGAATCTTGAGGGCGACGACTTTCTAGGCAACTTCTACAGTCATTAATGCTTGAGAGCAACTGCTCCAATATTTACATCATTTTACATCTCTCTAAGAATATTCTTTTTTTTAGACTGAATATATACATCTCTCTTCCAATGATTCTACACACTAATTGTATATGAACTCCCTCTGGAAAAGTGATTTAAAGATCAAAATTATTTGGGTCTGAGTATATTCCAAGTCTTCATGAAAACACGGGAATATCCCAGACCTTTAAGTATTACTTACCATTCAGATCAAGGAAGAGAACTGGTATGTGGGTTTCCATTCCAGGAGGTGGGACCCTAAATTTAATAACAAAATTTAATCATAACCAAGTATGCATTTTGCATTCTGTTAAGTAAGTAATAAAATACTACAGAAATATGGAAGCCATAGAATACCACTATCAGATACATCTCGTATTAGTAAAATGTTTTCACAGTGGTTGACTTTTATAAGTAAAGACAGGCTAGGAAGAAAGACCTGGAAATCTTCTGAAAATCAGCCAATGGGAACCTTATGGATCACAACTGATCATCACCCAATTTGCTTGCTCTGGGCATATCATCAGAAGGCTCATCCCTGAAGAACGCCGTGACATTTGGTGCAGCACAACCAGCATGGGTAGGGGGCCTCTCCATACAGAAGGACTGGTCGAGCACCTATAAGTGACATCAGGATGAAATGGTGCTCATAGGTAATGGCTCTCACATGACCTGCAAGCCTTATGACCCAACATGATAGGCACATTTGTAATGAGAAATATACCAGGTTACCAATCATGTGCTGTACATGCAGAGTTTTCAAATTCTAGAAAAGAGATCATGAAATCAATTATACTTTTGTTGATATATTATCTGATTTTTAATCTGTGTGTGTCAGAATTAGAAGCATGCTCTATTTGCTATTCAATGGCTGTGCTTTTTTTCAAAGTAGATCACCAGGTCTTGCTTAGGAGGCAACTGTAGTTAGATCCGAACTAGCAATCTTCTGGTTAATAGTTGAGAACTGAACATTTAACACTACCCATTGAATCCTCATTTACCATCATATACACTAATCATTGAACAATAGCATTAATATTTATATTCTTGCTCAAAGGAGATGATGCATTCTGCATATTCTTTGTACAAAAGGAATCTGATTTCACTTCATCACCTAGAGCATGTAATAAGTATGAGAATAAGAACTAACAGCAACTACTATCCAATGAATGGATACATTATTTTACATACATTATCTCTAATTCTCACAAAAGTACCAAAAAATTAACTTCAGTAATAGATTTGGAAATTAAGTCTCAGACAAGTAAATGTACTTAAGGAAAGAGACGAGAATTGAAGCTGAAAATGAAATCCAAATCTGACTCCACAGTCATGATGCCGTATGCCACGCAGTGCAGGTAATTGAATGACACATTATTTACATATACTTAGGTGATTTCTTTTTCAAACCTAGGTATCAAACTAGACCAAATTAAGCCGATTTATCTCCTGGCATTTTCAAGCAGAATCTAAAACTTCTTTTTTTAAATAATTTATTTATTTTCTTGCTATGATGTGCCGTTGAATCAGATGCGACCTGCACGGATGGAAGTTGTCCCGCCTTCTCCAGCGGAGCTTCTGGTGGATTCGAACCACAAGCCTTTGGTATTGCAGTGCAGCTCCTTGCCACTAGGCCACCAGATCTCGTTTAAAACATCCTTTTTTGAAGCTAAAAATAAATAATTCCTGAAGAAGCGAGAATAAGGCTCAAGGTGCTTTGGAAGAAGCAAATGAGCATAGCCTTGGATTCATGACTAGGTAAATACTGTGAGAGGAAGTGGAAGGGGAGGGGATAAGTACTATTAGAGGTGCCCTTCCGAGAACGGCCCGGAGAGCATTCTCTGTAAGAGTCCCAGACGTAACAGCATGAGCATGACTTCTGCCACAGTACTCTGCAGTATCCTATCCAGGCTGCCTGGAGCGACAACGGGACTCACCAGTCTGCAGGTGCCCCGGGGATGCCACTGCCTGGTGCTGGGACCAGCACAGCATTCCTCTCTTCGGTCAGCCCTACCCACTGCTCCACCAGCCGGGCTTCCCGCTCCACGTCATCCTCTGTTTTCTCTGCAGATCAAAAGGAGGGATGAAGGCCAAGAAGACAGCAAGAGCAATTTCTAAATTTAAAATAAGCAAATAGATTCTCATTTGGCGATAGCCACAAGCAGTTTAAATAGCCACTGTGTTCCAGAAAAGGATCTGAGGCTTTTACGTTCAACACAGATGTGCAGATGAGCTCAGAGTGGCTAAGATGTGGGCTTACAGTGCCAAAGAGCAGGAAGAGTAGAAAGGGCACTGGGACAGGAATGAGGAAGCAGGGTCCTCTGCGGCTTCCCTAAATTAGGAAAGTTACTTAAAAGTGAGTCTTGGTTCCCAAATCAGTTCAATAAGGCTTTCTGCCATATCTAATTCATGCACTTGTTGAAAAAAACTGACAAAGACTAAACATGGCATTGCTTTATAAAAAAATAAATGGTTTTATAAAGATAGAGCATTACAACATGCTATATAAGTAGATACTCTAACCAATCATTTACATTAATCAATGACAATGAATGTTACAAAGCAAACTGAGAATAAATTTGCTTTCTATGAAAAACTAAAATGATTCGTAAACTTTCACTCAAATAAAATGTACCATATATTCACAACCAAATTTATGTCCTCCATACTCAATATGGAAGAGATTTAGTTGATCTATGTTGAAGTCCTCTTAGCCATCTTCTAATTCTGAAGCTGTCTAAACGCAGTCAAAGTGAGTTGTGAAGCCAGGAAATTAAGCATTTTATAGGCACACCTCTAGTATCTAAGACAGCCAGAGCCAGCACTGACAACTAGCATCTTAGAGTTAAGTAGTAGCATGGTTCTGTTAAGGGCACTTCTGCAGTGGTGGGCAGTGACCTACAAATGCTACAGTTTCTGAAGTGACCCTTTTACTGCTGTCAAAGTTCAGAGTCTAGAATACAAAATCATACAAAGCTACAGATCTTATCTGTGTTCCTCCAAACAAAATATGAGATGAATACTTACGGCCACAGTAAAAACCACAGTTTTATGAGTATTTAGTATTGTCATGTTAAGGATGTTTTAAAATCAGTCTTGCACAAAAAGAACCACTAATAATTATCCTTTTTTTTTAATTCAAAAAAGCTAGGAGGCTGTTATATTACTAATAGAAAAAAAATAACTACCACTATTTTGTAAAAGTGAAACTATTCTCAGAAACTTCTTATATGTTTTGTAAACATTAAAAAAATTTATGGTGAATATATAGGTAACAAAACATTTGCCATTTCAACAATTTTCAGCAACATTCAATATCACCTACCTTTTTTATTGCTGACTTTTTTTATCTGTTCGTCCAAGTATTCACGTCTTTTAATGAGTGCATCAGACCATCTCTCTCTTACACAGTTTAAATCTTCTTCCTGACATTGGGGAGGGAAAATATTTTGCTGTACATGGAAGGGACAATCGTTTCTTTTCTTGCTTTCAAGGATATTTACGTTGATCAGGAAACCTCATAGTAGGAGAGGCCATTGAAAGTAGCTGTGAGATTAATATGCAAGAAATCAAAGAAGGCTCACAAATACTGCATGCTGATTGAGGATTCCTTTACATAGAAATCACATTTGCTGGATCTCCAGAGGAAAAATTACATGTAAAAGCAGGATAAGCTCAAAATATACCAGCTGTTGGTTGATTTTTACTCTGCATGTGTATTTAAATCATTGCTAGTCATTTGAAGGATTTGTGATTCCAAGCAGGATGCTATGAGCCCAAACCATGGAAGAGCAAATGGAATGGAACAAGACTGTCATTACATAAGCTCATATCCTAGTGGCCCAAAAGTAGGTATTATCTGAAATGCAAGAAAAGGCAGGCAGAGACCCTACCAAACTTGCTGCAAAGATTTTACTTCCGACAACTACCATGAGGCTAACCAAACACCTAACATGCAAAACCCCACATGCACTCAGCCATGCTTTAAGAAATCCCAGCAGCACCTGGTGGATTTCACCGTGAACAGTGTGACAGAAAGCACACAAACAGCCCGCAGGACATTAGTAAATGGCATCATGAGAATCCAAGGGGTGATGGGAAATTCCCCTACAGCTTGCTTTTGTTTTGCTGTCTTTCTTGATAAAATTATGAGGAGGGAGAAAAAACTCACAGATCCTAGTCAAAATACTTTGAGTTATTTAACCCCAATCTAACTTTTAAGACATCGTATTAAGAGCTGCTGTTGATTATCACTGCTGTGGGGTCTGAGTCAAAGAGAGAGCTCATATGTTACAGAGAGGAACAGCTGCACAGGGGTTCAGGCTGTAGCCTTAACTGGAGGAACCCTAGTAGTATGGTGGGTAAGTGCTTGACTGCTAATCGAAAGGTTGGTGGTTTAAACCCATCAGCTGCTCCACAGGAAAAAGCCGTGCCTATCTTCTTTTGTAAAGATTTACAGCCTTGGAACCCCTGTAGTGTAGTTCCATTCTGTCTCATTGGGTCCCTCTGAGTCAGAAATGCCTTCTGGGCAGTGGGGTCTTTAATCATAATTGAAGGAGATTTCCAGGACTTGTCTCCCATGGGACCACTGGTTGACCCACTAGTTTTTAAAGTAAACAAGTGCAAACTGTTTGTGCTCCCTAGGGACTTGACTTTAAGAACAGACATGTGCTATTTGAAGACCTCTGAGATTTTATGGATAACAGCTTGCATCTAGGAAAGCTCACAGGAAAATGTTCTTCTAAACTCCTGTGTGAGGAATCAGTGCAAAGACTGGAAAACCAAATACAGAAAACCTCAACCTGGTTTGCTGCTTTGATCGTCCCATCATGTCAGGTCAGTGAGTCTTGATGGGACAAACTTTCAAATCTGCAAATATTTTCATAGATTCTCAAAACAGAAGAGACTTGAATTCTCCAAGTCATGGATGACTAAGTCAATGCCTAAAACTGGCTAAAATGAAAACAGAACTATGTGCTTCAAGTGTCTTCAATTTTCTTGTCTAGACAAAGTCTCTTAAAGTTGGATGGCATATTAGAATAATACCAATCTCTTGGATAGAATCTTACAAAGTGCAGGTTAGCATAAGACAGGATAAGACTCCAGCAAAAGATTGCAGATAGGCAACTGTGTGCATTTTGACTTTAATACAGTGATAATGTTCTTGCTTAGCAAGGCTTTAGAAACTATTCATTTGAAACAGTGTACCAAAAGTGCACAATCTGGTGATAAATTGTGAGCTGACAAGGCAATCTACAGAAAGAGCATTGTATCTCTGATTGCACTTAAAGCAAATCTAAAGCCAGTGAGAAATTGCATATTCTTGCTTTCTTGTCCTTCCTCCTCCCTGCTCTTGCTTTGCGGATGCTGGCTATTAGCAGTAGCTGTGCCCCATGCCACAGGATTGACAGCAGCAGCAATACCTGATAACTATCCATATCATCACCATCCTCATCATCTCTCTGGTAGGGAAAAAATAAACACAAAGGACATGCATTTTGTTTCTCAAACAGATTAACATGAAGAAAATAATTCTTTAGCTTAACACACATTATACCAGATAGCATACAACATGAACATAAAAAACCCTTAATTGCATCTCAAAAGACTTAGTGGACTTACTTAAGTTACCTCTATTTAGAGAATGTAAGGTTTTTATTAAGGAAGTAGTTACACTGGGGGGAAAAAATAAATTCCCTCATCCCTTTTATTATGCAAATAGCCGGCATGTATTTACAGACAGATGGGCTATCCAAGGTTGGGGATGGGCTTAAAAATACAGAGTGGCAAAGCTACAAGAGACTAGAAAGATGGAGAGATTTTTTTGGCAAATCTCTTCTTTTGGATTAGTGATGAGGGCACTATGCACCACAAAGATGAAATGGTTTAACCCAAGGACACATGGATACTGGTAGGATCAGGATTAGAAATCAGCCCTGAACTCTCCAACCACATTAGCCTGAGAGATCATTACAGTTACCAGGCAGGACCTTGAGCAAGGCAACAAGTGATGCAGACTTTACAGCTAGAGTTTAGATATGTCGGGCTGGCACTGAGTTTTTAAAAGAGTATTTAGCACTGGAGGAAAAAAAGATACGTCAGAGCCCAAATTTCGATAATCATTTAAATTCCAAAGGAGTCACTGAGAGAATTCAAATAATCAAATAAATATTCCTCGAATGGGTACTTGGCCAGTCCATAAAAACCTCTGTAGTTTTAGGTCTTGGTTTAGAAGACATAGACTCAATGTTTTAATCTATGACCAGAGACTTATTAAGCCATAAAATTTTATTGCACAAAGATACCTCAGAGAATTTAGAAGTCCACTTCGTCATTTTAGAGAAAAGGGGATTTACACATACCCAGCCACGGCAGTCATCAAGCAGGGTGAGCTAGACTTAAAAGATCTTGTCTCCTAACTCCAGGTCTAAGGCTCTAGTAAGCTCCAGAGCCAAACTAGAAGATGGCCACCAAGGGAGTAACTGATCTAGGATGGGAACATACCCAAGGCAGAGTCTTACTCCACACGCTGTATACATGCAATGAAAAGGCTGGTGGGCCATTTCCCAAACAGAATAGCCCTGTCTTTGGAGCCTCATTCACCCTCTCCCTCAAGGCTCTGAATGCCAGTAGGGAAGTTGGCTTGGGGTGAGGAAGGCAGTGTCTGATCCAGCTATGCCTTTCTTGGGGATAGTCTACCTAGGGATTTTCAGTCTTCCTAAAAAGTTTGGCCTGAATACCAAAAGGAAATTGAGAGAGATGAACCATGCTCACAATCAGCTGGGCTTATGCCCAGACTCCAGAGAAAGTCTAAGGAAACTGTTTTCTCTTCATTACGATTCTTTAAAGAAGAGGTAGTGTCCCCTATTACATATGGCAGAGAAGGAGCCAGAATGTGCCAGTGTGATCTCCTCAGGACCAAGATGATATCTGGGAATAAGCTTAGTGTGCACTGAAGTACAAATTCCTCATCTCAGAGTTCACTCTCATGCAGAACTGGGGAAACCCTGCCATGGGGATCAATTCTGAGGAGATTCACTATACCTTCTTTTTTACAAGAATGTAAAATTTAATGCACGAACATAATAAAAAAACCCAACATGAAGTTAACCTTTGGTTAAAAAAGAATTCCAGAGGCTTCAAAGAGCTGGTCAATTATGTCAATGTGTCAGTATATAGGGTAGTATTAGGTGCTCCGACGGCACGGTGTGCATCAGATGGTGAACTGAAAAGTTGGTAATTGGAATCCAGGAGCTGCTGTTCAGGAGAAGGATGGGTAGTCTCCTTCCGTAATGACTTACAGCCTTGGAAACCCAAAGGAGGGTGGCTTTGTGTTACAAAGGATTTGATGTCAGAGGAGAAAAAAAAATTAGGACAATATTATGATTGTAATAAAAATGAACTAGATCAGGTAGCAATGCCAAATATCTAACACAATTTGGGCCAGATATAAGGCAAATCCTGCCACAGTAACCAAGTACTATAGCATGAATATGTGTGTGTATGAAGAAACTTATTATCATTAAACTTTTAGCAAGTAAAGAAATTCAGATTAATAAAAAAAGGTAATGGGGATGGCTCAGGTGTAGTGATCTCTTTTATTACAAACAGGTTTCTAAGACACGTCATTAACGGATTTATGTCTGCACCAACCAATCTTTGTTATATATACTCTGTTGAATCTGTTTGTCTTACCTGGTAGCTGTCCAGGCCTCGCTGGAGTTTGGTAGACCTGGCTGTTACACAGCCAATGGATACTGACAAGATGGCTTCGACCATCAGAGGCAGTGTCCCTGAATGCTGGACAGGCTTCACTGTTACTTGCACTCTACGAGAATGACCCTGTAGAGCAGAAGGGGAGATGGGTGGGGAGTGGGTGCCGGTGACAGAAGGGAGACGGGGTGTAAAGAAAAGGAAAGAAGTCATGAACAAAGATGGAAATGATTAAAGAAATTTCCCAAATCTGTGGACTGGAGGAGGGCAGATAGACAGCACATAACAAACTTAGTACCTGTCGTAGCTGAAAGACGCCTCCTGTATTGACATCCTTAGCCTGATGAAGCTCCACGGCAGCATATTCTCCCAGCTCATTCAGCTCTAGGATGGAGATCCACATTTCTATTCTGCGGGTCACTTCATTCCACCTGCAGGACCACAGTTCAACACCCAACAATGCCATTATCCAGGATCACCATCAGTAATAGTAAAACATCACCCTTCACTGAGCATCTACTCACAAAGACTGTTCATGCACCTAACTCTCCAACCTATGATATAAGTTCTGTCACTTATTTTACTGAGGTATAACTTACATTCACTGAAAAGGCCAGGTCCTGAGTATACTGTTAAATGCAGCTTGCTGAATACCACTGTAATCCACACAGCCAGACCTTCAGAAAGTTTCCTCATGCTCCGTCCCTTACAATCTCTTCACCTCCCTGCCTCAGCCATTTAAACTCACAGACTAATTCACTTGTTCTAGCACTGTACATTGGAATCATGCAGAATGTCCTCTTTGTGTCTGATTTCTTTCCTTCAGCATTAATACTTCTGAGATCCATCCAGATGTTTACCAGTAACTTTTTATTGCTCAGTACAATTGCACAGAGTGAACAGGTGACAATTTGTTCATCCATTCTTCCGTGGAGGGATATCTGGGTTTTTCACAATACTGCACAATGAAGTATTATGAACAAAGGTGCCATGAATGTACAAATCTGTCTGTGAATACATGTTTTTATTCTTCTTGGCAATGGGATTCTTGGATTATAAAAAAGGTGAATAAGGGGAGCTCTGGTAGCCTAGTGGTAAGAAGCTGCAACTGCAATCCCAGAGGCACATGGTTTGAATCCACCAGATGCTCTGCCGGGGAAGAAGGGACAATCTCCTCCTGTACCAGTCAGATCTAATTTGACGGTACACTCACACAAAAATAATAAAATAAAAAAATTTTTTTTTTTTAAAAAGGTGAATAGTCCATCTGATGAGAAAGTGCCAGTTTTGCTTGTGACTTCCTTAGTCATTTTCTTAGCTTCCTTAGTCGTGGCCCAAGGGGCATGGAGTTGCACTGCTTATCCAAAGGCATGTGGTTCAAATCCAACAGCTGCTCCATAGGAGAAAGATGGGCAGTCTCCTCCCTTGTAATTTACAGCTTTGGAAAACTCATCAGAGGGTCAGCTAGAGTTGGTTCCATTACGATGCCATTCAACACCAAAAAGACTTGTTTATTAATTTTCATAATGAACTTTTAAGTTCAATTTACTAATTTCTTCTTTCATAGTTTGTGCCGTCTCTGAGGTCTGTGACTGTCCCAAAGTTGTGAAGCTCTTCTCCTCTTTTCTCCTAAAACCTTTACAGTTTCATCTTTCATGTAGGAAGTTATGACACATTTAAAATTAATTTTTCTGTATAGTGAGGGAGCTCTGTGGCCTAGTGGTAAGAAGCTGTGCTGCAATCCAAAAGGTACCCAGTTCAAATCTACCAGACACTCCATGGGAGAATGATGGGCAATCTCCTCCCACACAATTTGCTGTCTCCAGAAACCTGCTGGTCAGCCATGGGTTAGTTCTGACTTGACGGTAAGCAACAGCAACCGTGAATGGCAAGGTTCAAGGTTGACTCTTCCCTTCCCATGCAGATGTACTGTTATTTCTGTCCCATTTGATTTTTTTGTTTGTGTGTTATTTTTTTTTAAGGTTAAGGTAAAGGAGACTTATTAGGAAAGACATGTCTGAGAAAGAGAAATGGGCTGTTCTCCGAAAGTAGGGAGAGTAGTGGAGCAGATTCAGCCTCATTTGCTGGAAAAACTTTCTCCATTGAACTCCCTTGGTTTCCAGTAGCTCCTTTTATCATGCTTGTTTTGAAAAAAAACCTCAGAGGGGTATAGTAATTTGCTTAACCAGTTTTTTGTTTAAATTTTTATTTTTAAAAGAATTTGCTTAAATTATCTTTGTAATTTTTTGGTCTTAAGTAACCAGAGTACAGAGCATCCGAGGTCCAAGGGCTATGCCTGACCTGCATCAGAAGCTCAGATAAACACTCACCTATCATGCAACGTCCTTGTCTTAGCGTGAAGAGAATCTACCTCCCAGATGGAGCTACCGTTGCCAGCACACCGGTGACCCCACACTTCAATTGCCAATGCTCCATCTGAAATGAACTCCAGGAACTCTTCGGTTACATTCACCACATAGTCCTGGGACAGGAAAAGAGAGGAAACAGCAAAAGGACTTATGTAGGGAGGCTGCGGATTTCCTTTTTATCTTTCAGCAATATGTAGATTCAATCTGGAGTACATCAACTTGATCCAACCTTAAAAACACCTCTTATGTTTTACAAGGGGAGCTCTGGTGGCCTAGTGGCAAGTACCTGCAACCACAATCCCAGAGGCAAATGGTTCGAATTCACCAGATGCTCTGCCAGGGAAGGAGGGACAATCTCCTCCTGTACCAGTCAGATCTGATTTGACGGTACACGCACACGAAAATAATAAAATTAAAAAAAACAAAACAAAGCAAAAACAAAACACCTCTTATGTTTTACAAAAAAGCAACAAGGACTCACAGAATATTAAATCTAGAAAGGCAATTTAACAGATTTTTTTTTTTTTGTAAACAAGGGAACTGATGAAGGCAACTTGTCTAAAACCATACTGTGTGCTGGTGTCAGAGCCCACTTAGGTCTATGTTCCCTTATTTCTCACATCTTCTTATTTCCATGAGACTTCCAGCTTGCTTAAAATAATTCAGTGCTTCCAAAATCAATCTCCATAATAGTCTATGTGTTTCCTACTGCCAAAGGGGCCCTTTAGAGTAGTGAGAGAAGATCTTCACCCTGAAACCCACAGCGTCCCTTTTCAGCAGGAAGTAGCTAAGAGAATATGCCATCCCCTTTTCCTTATGACTCAGGGTGAAGTCTCTCTCAGGGAGGAGTGATAGGGAATGGCAAAGGATACACTGACAAAGAAGATTAATCAGAACTGGCTTTGACAAGCACTGTGGCATTTGGACAAGAACAAACTGGGAGGAGGGTAGAGAGAATAGTGCAACAATGAATGAGTGGAAGCCCAAAATCTCTGTAAATGTTTATGAAAATTAATAAAATATAATTATAGGAAAAAAAATAATTCAGTGCATAAGATAGGAACTTCTAAGTGTGCCTTCTTATACCTTAGAAGACTAATCACAGAATTGGATTTTGAAGAATTATTTTTATAATTATGTGGTCGTGGTCTTGAGTTCTCCCACCTCAATTTCTTAGTCTAAAATATACACAGGTAACTGCAGGGAAATGAACCCTGAAGAAGCAAAAGGCAAATCACCTAGAAAAATTCAGCTGGCAAGATCTCAAATCCATTTTCCTCTTAATGGCCTCTATGGAATCTCAGATGGACATTTCTCTGTAACTACCCTACATGATCTCTCTTCTTTTCATTTGTAAACATCAGCATTTTTAGAAGGAAATTTAATAACCAATCAGTACAATCTATATTTTCAACTATGAAAAACATAAATCCAACAAGTATCTGTAGCTCAAGTCACACAGCAAATTTAGTGGCAGTGAGACCAGATTTTATAAAAAATGGGTAGTAGGTATATAAATTTTAGATCCCATCCTTCTGAAAAAACCAGCTTTGGGGATCCTAAAGAAATAATAGAGAAGAGAGCTCTTGTGGCCTAGTGGCAAGAAGCTGTGCTGTGATACCTAAGGTGCACAGTTCGAATCCACCAGATGCTCCATTGGAGAAGGATGGGGCAATCTCCTGTGCTAACTGGATGTGACTCAATGGTACACAACAAAAAAGAAATAACAGAGAATACTCAAAGGACATTTAACATTTTCAGGGAAGAGGATATGATTATTAAAGATTATTAGAAATAGGTCAGATAAATACAGGTAAAGAAAAAAGGCCTGTCATCTTTACAGAAGTGGAATTTTAGGGGTGACGAGGTGAATCTGCCTGCTAAGTGATTTAAGTCTTGAGAATCCCTCTCTGTTGAGGACATCCAATGAAAAGCAAAACTATGCTGTGGATGGAGTCTGTCTGTCTGAATCATGGCAGCCCTGCATGAAAGCTGTAGAGGTCATGTGACCAACCAGAGTACATTCATCCAACGCTCCTCAAAAACTCACCTTTCCTACTTAACATGTATGTTAAAATTCAGGGTACATTACAATGCTTTGCTGCATTTAAAAAGAAAAAAAAAGTATATCAACTTATACATTAAGATATCCCCCTACACTAAAAATCAATAAGTACCAATAAACAATAACAACAAGGGTGTGTATAGAAAAGAACCCAGTAAGATGAAATTGTCATGGACCCACTTTCATTTAAAAAAAAATTATGAAGTTATACATCTATGCCCATTTATGTGTATGTACATATATTTGCCACACACATACAAAAGTTGTAGAACAAAATTAAAAGTGTTTAATAGTGCACAAAAGCATAAACTGCCATAGCTTATTTTACAACTGGTGAATAAGACTCTAGGGAAAGAGGTTTGTGTTTTGGGGTTTGTTTCCCCCCAGATTTTTAATACTTCCAAGTTATTTGGGTTTTTAAGTATATCTTGTATTTGTGGAATGGAAATACATTTTGAAGTAAACAAACCAAAACAACCACAAAATGATAAATTAATGAAAAAAAATTTTAAGGAAAAATTTTAAGCTAGAAATAGATCTCTGAGCTGCACCTAACCCAGGTGCCTCCACACAGCTCAGTCAGCATTGTCACCTGTACCTTGCAGTGGGAGAACGTCACTGTGTACTGTGCATCCTTGGACTGAGGAGAAGGCACTTCAGGGTCCACCACAGGTGCGGCCACCGTAGACTCACACTGGTCCCAAAACGTGTATTGACAGAAGACAAAATTAGAGAGGCTCAAGGGCAACCCAGATGCCTCTTTAATTTTTACCTGAAGAGAGGAAAAATGCATGTGACTATAAAAAAAAAAACATAGAAAACTTGGGGTTTTTCTTTTTGCTTATTTTGTTGTTGAATGCCTTTGAGTCAGAACCAAGTCAGAGCTGGCACTCCAATGGGTTTTCAGAGGCAGTAAATCCCACAGGAGGGGACGGCCCATCTTCCTCCCACAGAGCAGCTAGTGGATTTGAACTGTGTGCCTTTGGGATTGCAGCACAGCTTCTTATCCCTATGCCACCATGTGACTCCCTCAAATTTAAGAGTTAAGTAATATAAAAAATAAATCTGATGGCCTCTGACATCTGTAAATACTTGCACCATTTCATTAAGTGTTTTATCTACAAAGTATAGCATGGTGCTGTAGCTTCAGTTTACAAACCTGCAAACAAATGCACACAAGCCCCGAAAATTTTCTTAATGACTGACCTAGATGTAAATTTTTCTAAAAAGTTAACTTACAGAACAGCAAACTTTTCCTACTAGTTAAGAAACGTAAATCTTATCGACTTCAGTTCTCAGCAACCTCATGGGTGATGGAGGAGAGCAGTGCTCTGCAGGACAGATTCTTTGGAAGCAGATCACCAGACCTTTGATCTAAGGCAGATGCAAATCTTTTGGGTAGATACAAATCTCTAGCCTTTTGTTTAATAGCAGAGTATCTTAACTGTCTGAACTACTCCGGGAGTCCAACTAAGTAACACACATGTCCTTCTTTAGCTAACTAAGCAGTGTAAAGTTCTCACATGCCAAATAAATACACTATGCTATGAAAACTTTATGTGTATTGCACTGGAAAAATTTGCTGTCAGAGATCTCTCCAGAGTACTGAAAAGCAATGATGTCAGTCTAGAGACTAAGGTGCACTTGATCCAGGCCATGGTCTTCGCAATTATTTGCTATGCATCAGAGAGCTGGACAATAGCTAAGGATGATAGAATAATTAATTCCTTTGAATTGTGGAGTTGGAGAAGAGTCTTGAACATACTATGGACCGCTAAGAAAACAAGTAAGTCTGTCTTAGGAAGGGTGAAACCAATTTTCTCCTTGGGGGGCTAGGATTTTTAAGCTCTGTCTCACATACTTTGGGCACGTGGCTAGGGGAGACTGTTTCTTGGAAAAGGACATCATGTTTGGAAGGGTGGAGGGACAGCACAGGAAAGGAAAACCCTGGGTGAGATGGAAAGATACAGTAACTGGGACAGAGCTGCTGTGCATAGGGTCATTATGGTTGCAGGTGACTCAAAAGCACAAAACAACAACATGCAAATTTTATGCAACTGTTATCAGAACGTGCTACGCACTCGTGGAAAAGTATTGTCCACCATGGCAGTTTAAAAGGTCATCTACACAAGCTGTCCTATCGGCGTCCTCTCACCCTGCACGTCAGTTTTTTGACCCGGTGAATGATTTCCCCACTGCTGTCTATGACTTCCAGGCTTCCACTTTCACTGGAGTTCTCCGAGGAGTCATCCTCCACCACACGCTCTGGAACTGCCCCTGTGACACGCATCACTTCCACATGGAGACGCCCTGCAACCTGGGCCAAGGAAAGAGAGAGGTAAAGGGCATCCCATTTGAGTGGTGTCCCAATTTCCCTCCAAAGGACAGACAAGCCTATAGGGTGAACAGTAATACCAGGGAGGTATATGCTCTTTAGACCAAACAACCACAGAAGATCAAAAGGTCAGTATTTGCCCTGGGATAAAGCTCAGAAGGGAGACAGTAGTAGGATGAATGGAAATGAGAATCACATGGTGAAGGAAGTAAGAAAGCAATGACATTGTGAGTATAGTAATTAATGTGATAAAAATGTATATTTTTAATAAAAACATCTTTTGGTTTTTAAAAAATTTCACTCAAATCACAATTTTTAAAAATGTTTTTTGAAAGAAAGGTTACAAATCACAATACTTTTTCATTTGATCATTTATGTATATTTTATTTTTTAATATTCATGAAAAGCACATATTTTTAAAATAACTTCAAAGTACAAAAAGAAGAACCATTTTATAAAATTTTTAAAAGAACTACAATAGGTTAATAGAATTAATTAGGCATAATATCTGTTCAATATGCTGTGTATTTACCTTTCCCTTCATCTACCTCATGTATTTATTAATTTTTATTCCCTTTCCCCTAGCTTCCCATTTCTAGGAACCACCCAAAATGAATTCTGTCTATGTGTGAATGTTTCCTCAGCTTTACATAAAAGTGGTTTTATGCCACACTAGTCCTTTTGTGACTGACGGATCTTGCTTGGCAGATCCCCCCCAAGCTGCACACTGTTTCATGCTGCACTCTTTTTTGTGTCCTTGCTGATTCTTTGTTCTGTCTACATTTCTGCGCCGACTTCCTTCAGTTTATGGCCCTTGTTACTACTTCCTTCATTGCTGTTGTTTTAGTGTTTTCTAAGGCTTTATGATCTTCCTCTTTTTCATGATAATGAGAATCATGGTAAGGAAGTACGAAGACTGCAGTTCCATTGTGAGGAGTGTACACAGTATCATCAAATGAAAATAACAAGTATCCCAGACCTCTCCTGGTCTAGCACTGATCGGAGAGAGAAACATGCCACAGGACCCTTCAGAGCTGCTCAAAAGCTACCACCACTTGTCAGTTCCTCCCAGAGGCTGGTCACTCAATCACTTTGCCTCATTTTAAGCCAGATTTGTCCCCTGGAAACTTGCCTTTATGTATTACCCCTAGTCTTATTACGCTTCTATATCAGTCCTGGAACAGATTAAAGCCAGCTATCATATTCCAGGAAGTCTGGATTCCATGAGAATTTGGTAATACTGAGGACTAGGACAAAGTACAGATCTGCTGTCCATGGCGTTGCTATGAGTTCTACTCAGCTTGACTGCATATAGCAGCATCACCAAGGACACCATTTTTATCATGGGAAAGAGTGACTCTAGTCACCAGTGTTCTACTGCAGAATGTGAACACATAATCTATAGCCAACACAGGTGGGCAGGACATTTAAACACCTAGGGGCTACTTCATGGCTTGACTTTGTGTAGCATAGTCTCTCTTATCTACAGCCTATACTAAGGATCATGAGAAACATCTTAGTAATTCAAGTTTGTAGGTCATTGAAGAAGGGGCTAGGAATCAAATATTAAAAAGGAATACATCAAATGATGAAACAGGCAAACATTTTTTAAAAGTTTAAGCTTGAACATTTTCTTAAGCTGACATAAGAACAGTATGTCCAAATAAATGCAATATGAGAATTCAAAATGAGTGCAGACAGCATAGATATTTATGCTTGTTTTCTCTAATCCCTTGGATTTCAAAAGAAATGACCATTTCTAAGGCTAGGAGTTAGGAAAGAAACAGTATGTCACAAAAGGAAGAGATTAAAAGAGAAATTACTGTGAGACAGAGTTTAATCTAGTTACCACAGGTCATGGTCTCTGCAATCATTTGTTATGCATCAGAGAGTTGGACAATGACTAGAGAGGATAGAAGGAGAATTGATGCCTTTGAGCTGTGATGCTGGAGAAGAGTATTGAATGTACCATGGACTGCCAAGAAAACAAACAGATCCATCCTAGAGAGGGTTAAACCAGGCTACTCCTTGGAGGCAAGGATTCTGGGGCTTCGTCTGACATACTTTGGACATGTTGTAAGGAGAGACAGGTCCTTGGAGAGGGACATCATGTTTGGTAGGGTGGAGGGACAGCGCAGGAAGGGAAGGGAAGACCCTCTATGAGGTGGACTGATTCAATGACTGGGGTAATCCGGATGGGTGTGTCAGAGGCAATGCGATTGGCACAGGATAGAGCAGGGTTTAGGGCTGTTGTACATAGGGTCGCTGTGAGTTGCAAACGACCCGACGGCACATAACAACAACAACCACAGGATTTGTTTGTTTGTTTGTTTTCTTGCTTTGTACCTTCGAGTCAGATACAACTGGCACAGGAAGAGATTGCCCCTCCTTCTCCAGTGAAGTATCTGGTGGATTCAAACATGTGTCTTTGGGTTTGTGGTACAGTTTCTTGACACTAGGCCACCAGAGCTCCCTCACCACAGGATTTTTAATCGATAATTAAAATATGTACTTGGAGATGTATACACTGATGCTCATAGTAGCGTTATTCAAATAGCAAGAAAATTTAAACAGCTCACATGTCCATCAACAAAACAGATTGAGAAACTGTGGTATAGTTACATGATAGAATGAATACTATACAGCACTCAGGAGCAACAAATTAAAAAAATACTGTATAACATGAGAGGCTGAAAAGCGTTATGCAAAATGAACTAACTCAGTCTAAGAAGGCCAAATACTGCATAAGAGTATTATTGGAAAAATAGAAGGATAACCAGTAAGATGTGTCTATAAATCAATAGGGAAAAGGGAAAGGAGTAGGAAGGCGAGGGGGAGGGGAGAGGGAATCACAGCGGCAGACAGTTTGATGGATGGACGGAGGGGGTAAAGGAATTAGGAACGATCCAGTGGGGAGCTGAAAAGATGAGGAATTGTGGACATAGATCAATGGTAATTGGTTTTATAAAATGCAATATATGGGAATGAGTGCATGAAACACAATGCGCAAGAAGGAATGTGTGAAACACAATGTATATGAATGTAGCACAACCTATACAAATTCTGTATGCAAACTAATATATAATTAAAAGATATATGTATGTGTGTGTATATATATATATGGAAAAAGGACAAAATTTGTGAATTGCAAATATAAAATCTGGCATAATAATGTTTAAAAACTACAACTTAATTATACTAATTTTTAACTGCATTAGTAGAGAATAAAAGAATGTGGACTATCTGAGTTTCTTGATCTCAAGAAAAACAATCGAGTTAAAACCACAAACTCTCCACTGTCATTGTCTTTGTGGCTGGTCTGTTCTTACCTCCCCCTGCTGGCTGATGATGGGAACTGCATACTGGAGCTTCACATCACAGAAGAGGCACTCCAAGAACACATTGGCCACGCCAATTAGGTTGTGGTTCTCCTGGGCTTCATAAAAGGGGTCACCTCGCTTCCCGTAGAGTCTCTTTGCCTGAACAGTTGCAGGGGAATGTAGGGAAGTAAGAAACAAAACATCCACTTAAATAATGTCGTTATAACGAGCATTTAAAAGGTAAAAAAAAAAAAGCCAAATTAACTAGAAATAAAATTAGTCATGTTGTATGTTTTTTTTTTTTAAAAAAACTCCAAAACCCAGCCACAAGATGACAACTAGCATATATGAGGGGGATTTTTAATTGGAGTTGTTGTGTGCTGATGAGTCATAATCAACTCACAGCTGACCTTTCAGAGGGTTTTCAGAGGCAGTGAACTGCACAGAGCAGCTGGTGGATTAGAACCACATGCCTCTGGTATTGCAGCGCAGCTTCTGGCCACCAGAATGACATCCATGGGGGACATTTCTCCTTACGTCATTGCTTTATCTTCTGAACCACACTCTGCCTGCTACCTTCTAAATATAATTTCCTTTGCTTTTGTTTCCTTTTCTTACCCAAATCTCCTTGTCCTTTACTGATATTCACAAAATAGATTATGCTTACTAACATCACTCTGAGAAATCTGCCCAGTCACAGCTACAGCGAGGGCATACGAACATATGCTCCCTGCACGCTGAGAGCTCACTTCATTTCTCTTGGAATATAGTAAAAATGAGGCCAATTAGAATGATGCAGTATGTTTTTTACTTCGTTCCCATCTGTGTGTGGGTCACATGCTACCTTACCGATTCTACTTGCTATTCATTTTAGTGTCTCTTTTAAATGACTTTCCTGTTATTTGTTGTTAGGTGTCATCAAGCTGATTACGACTCACAGTGGTGCTATGAACAACAAATTTGAACCTTACCCTATGCAATCCTCAGAATCACTGATGTGCTCAAGAGCTCACTGCCACGATAATTCCATCTATCCATCTTGTTGAGGGTCTTCTCTTTGACCCTCCACCTTTCCCCAGCATGTTGTCTTTTTCCAAGTACTAGCCCCTCCTGACAACATACGCAAAGAATGTGAGGCAGAGTTTCACCATTTTTGCCTTTAAGGTGCAACTTGGTTATACTTCCTCCAAGACAGACTTGATTATTCTTTTGGCAATCCAAGGGATAATCAGGATTCTTCACCAACATCACAATGCAAAGGTAACAATTCTTCATTTATCCTTATTCACTGTCCAGCTTTCAGATGCATAGGCAGCAACTTGGGTCAAGTGCCCCTTAGTCTTTAAGCTGGCATCATTGCTCTTTAGAACTCTAGAGAGGTCCCTGACCAAATATTTACTGGCAATTGTGTGTGTCTCTGTGTGTGTGTATGTGTTTTGCTAGCTAAATCTCTTGTATTCTCTGTTTGAAGTATAATCAATCCTCCTTTAAATTTGTGTCTCTTACCTCTGGAACTTCTTCCTTCCATTCTTGATAAAGTTCTCTCATATCAATTAATTTATTTTCCAGCTTCTCAATGGTCCACACTTGAGTACTCTTTCCTTTTCTCCTCACTTGAATGGCTGGCTCACTTACTATTGCCCCTCTCTGCAAAATGAGAAAAACAAACAAAACAAACTTTTAATATATTAATTCATAAACATAATGGATAACTTCTTTTTTGGGCTGCGGAAACAATAGATACATACATATATACACACACAGAGAGAGATATATACATATATGTTGTTGTTGTTGATTGCCTTTGAGTTGAGCACGACTCATAGTGACCCTATAAACAAAAGGCCTGAAACATCTCGACAACTATCGACACTTATCAAAGTTCATAGTGTTTCAGAGGCATGTTGTTTATGAAGTGGATGCCACTCCTGCTTTCAAACACACACACACACACACACACACAGTAATCAGTTATAAAAAACATAGTAACGTGTACAAACTCACTTTTGTCAAGTTGAAATCGACTTAATGCTGACCTTCCATTGGGTTTCCAAGGCTATAAGTTGCATGGGAGGAACTGCTAATGGGCTTAAACCAGGAAGGCTCAGCCTTTGAGCTGGCAGCTCTGCTTACTATGGACTATGCTACCAGAGCTTCCTTGCAATGGGAAGATATACAGAGGAAAGTAGAACTTTACAATCTAGGCAATAGTCTAGATTGGTTCTCATCTTCTACGTATTTTCATGCATATACTTTTACATTTCTATGACAATCAATAACAACTAATGAGACAATTTCATAGCCCAGTCATCCCTCTATAGTTTTCTATTGTGATTATTTCCTTATATTGTTAAACATCCTTCACAGACATGCTTTTTAAAGCAATCCATCATGTCTTTACCATATACACAACTAATGCCTATCATTCAGTGTCATGGCTTTTTCTATATTTTTGGTTGTTGCTATGTTATTATGCTTCACATCCTTGTGTATTAAGTATTACATGTTTATGTATAATTCTACATATGTTGTTGTTGTATCCTGTTGAGTTGAAACTGACACATAGCTGACCCTCTAGCGGGTTTTCAGAGACAGTACAGCACATCAACGGAGTAGCTGGTGGATTTGAATCGTTTTCCTTCAGGTTGGCTACACAACTTCTTACCATTAGGCCACCAGATCTCTTCATGTATAGACATAGGATAAATTACTCAAAAGGAGGGAGGGGACACACACCAAAGAATACAACGTATAAAGATGCTGGGATAGGGCCTGGCTCACTTTCAAGGATGCATCATGGAGGGGGCAAAAAAAGAAAATAATGTTTTTTTGCAATGATTCTTCCTACAGGAAAAAGATTGCAAATTACAGGAAACTTTCTAATGGTTACAAAAATGTTTCTGGGTCGGGGTGGGGGTGGGGGAGAAGAGTAGAGAAAACAGTGCAACAATGAATGAATGAGAACCCAAAATCTCTGTAAATGTTCATTAAAACTAATAAAATTTAATAATAATTAAAAAAAGTTTCTGGGTACACAAAAATAGGCAACATCCAAGTCATCTTTGCTTGTGGGTTTTACTCTTAAAAGGATACACCTTGACAAAATACATGCATACCTTCAATTTCAGAAAGAAAGTATTTTTCATTTCTTAAGTTTTTATTAATTTTAAATTTAAAAACAAAATCCAGTTGGAGAGACAAGTGCAAATACTGTATCTTCAATATATTTCTAAAATGATTATTCTGCTCAATAATGAAACAGAATTAACAGAATAGTTTAATGTGAAATTTTCATTCCAGTAGTTTTTATATACGTTCTTAGGATAACGGTTTCTGTGTGGCTTTTAAAACAACATTTAACAGAATTGTACAAAACCAGAAAGTAAACTTTTTAAATATATATTTAATTTCCATTCATTCATTTTTACACATTTCTCTCCCTGTCCTCCCTACCCCTCCAGTTTGCTTTTTTCTTGGGGAAAAAAAATATTCTTTCATTGTTATAGAGTTGTCCTCCCTCACCCAACCACTTTACTATGCAACTCTTATTCTGGACTCCTGTCATGCCAATAATACCTATTTATATGTTCTTTTATACAGTTCTCTCCTTTGTCTGTTTCAATGCCATGCACATTATTTATCCCCTCTTTTCTTAGTTTCTCCCCAACCCCCATATCAATCCTATTCTATAACAGTAGCATTATACAGTATTTATCTTTTTGTGACTGAGATATCTCACTCAGCACAATGTCCTCCATGGTCACCCATTTTGTATAATATTTCACGAGTTTTGAGTTTTTCAATGCTGCATAATAATGCATTGTGTGACTATACCACAGCTTCTCTATCCATTCGTTTGTTGATGGGCATTTGGATTGTTTCCAGCTCTTTGCTATTGCAAACAAAGCTGCAATAAACATGGGTGTGCATATATCTG